CACATATATAGGTCCTAAATGCCAGCAAAGTCTTAAAGGAAAATATAGCAGTAAGTTGAAAAAACAGATTGCAAAAGTTAGACATCATCTTAAATCTTAAATTAAAAATAAAAGTGTCTCCCTTGCACACGTGTGCATTCACACACATCTAAGAGAAAAATTAACACATACTTTAAAAGGCTTCTACAAATATTTATAGTGACATTCTAGGGCTTTCATGCTACTTAGCTTAAACCAAACGGACAGCTCCCATGTGCAGTGGTTCTCAGTCATTAAAATGCAAAGTCATTTGAACAGTTATTGAAAACGACAAAAACTCAAGAGTCCACTCTTATAAAATCTAAGAATTAGTAACTCTAGGTTGGTAACTCACTTTTTTTCCCTGATTTTTGTTAAGTTAAAACATAATAAAACTGACCAGGGTAGTCCAGATACACACACACACACACACACACACACACACACACACACACACACACACACACACACACACCACACACACTCTTAGGTACAATGAATTTAGGTAATTAGCTTAAGTTTATCTAATGAATAAGTGATAAGAAAAACAACTAAACACTCTGGCTCTCAGTCAAAAATCTTAATGCTTATAAAGCATTTCTCCAATAGGCATTCCACTAAATGATAGCATACATGTTTTTTGATCAATAAGTCTGGAAAATGTGGAAGTGACTGGCACGCTATCTTGGAATCTTTAAAATACTAAAGTGCATCATAAATTTCCAGACTTCAATTTGACTTTTTTCATAGAACACATACCAAAATCTGCAATAGCAATTCTGGGAACACCAGTTTAGAAAACATGGGCCCTACTATACTAATCAACTTCCAAAAAGTTTTTGTTCTGAAAACATGTTTTTCTTCTGAAACACCAAAAAAAAAATTAATAGGAAGTATGATTTTTGAAGATATTTGGGATAATGCATTATTGATAAATCTATCTCCAGGGCCTAGCACTTTCCGTAACACTCAATAAACACTGACACAAATCTAGAACTTTCAAGTAAAATAAAACGAAATAATTTTAAAGTAATGAGAAAACTCAAATCCAAAATACCGTCTTTTCAATGTTATAAAGAAATAAAATACCTATGTTGTGCTGAATTTTCAATGCTATTGTAGTTTTAATTGGTTGTTTTGGTTGTTCATCATCTGTGTTGTCCAATGAAGCTTCTGTATTCATAGAGGAACTCACACAAGCTGCAAGAAAACAAGAATAAATCCTAAATAAAATAAGAATAATTACCATTTAAAAATGAGTTTTAAAGAACATTATAAAGAACATACACAATGAACTCCAGTTTCCCTCAACTTGACTTTTTTATAACATTGAATTTGCTCATTACCAAATGCAGGTGAATTAAATTTCATGGACTATATATGAAACTGACATAATTTTTAAAATAGTTTATGTGGTTTCATGACCAAATGAAATCAGAGAGCCACTAAGCTAGTTCCAAATGACTCCCACAAGCTATAATTTGTTTACTATGTAGTAGTAGAGATAAACTGATACCAAATGTCAAACTAGATAGAAGCAGGGTAACATTCACTCTTTTTTTTTAAAGATTTTTTTTTGTTGGGGAATTGGGGGAGGGGATCAGCGCTGGGGAATCGGGGAAGGGAAACAGGCAAGTTACTGTTGTTTTGTTCTTCAGTCTAGTTGTAGAGGACGTTGCTTCACTGGCCCAAGTTGGCACTGTCATTGTGCTGTTCCTGGTTGAGGCAGATCAATCGCCGGCTTCTGGATGTCCGCTCACGGCGGCTGCTGGCGGCTCACGCTGGCTGCTGGCTACACATGGTAGCTTATGGCAACCCACTGCCACAGGGTCTGCAGACTATGCTGTCGCCGTGACTCACGGCAGCCCAGCTCCAGGTTGAGCTGTTGTTCAGCATCTTAGCTGTAGAGGGCAGTGTCACTGGCCCTCATACGTGAGATCCAAACCGGGGCCCTCTGGCATCCCAAGCCAGTTCTTAACCAACGTGCCACTCGGGCGGCCCACCTTCACTCTTGATTGGGATTAATTTATATCATAATTTCAAATAATTAGATATTAATAATAAAAGCAGGGTTCAGCAAACTGCAGCTGATGGGCCAAATGGCAGCACATGGGCCAGACCTTCTGTGCCCACAAACCTAAAATATTAACTGTTTGGCCCCAGAAACAGAAAGAGTTTGCTGACTCTTCATCTACCTGGAAATTTGAAATATACAAGCAAAATATAATAAAAAATGTGGCCTTAAAAAAACTCAATGTTAAGTAACACAAGCATATTATCTCATTTTTACAGATAGAAAACATTGTAAAACCTGATAAGTGCATATTTAAGGGCCATGGGCAGCAGATTGACGATTCAAATACAAGTTCTCTTTCTACTTCATTATGCTGACAATAATTTACGCAGGTTAGCCTGGCTGAATTGAATACTGATTAAAAGTGTTTGAACTGAAAACATCCTTAGAGATCACACAGACCAGTGCTTTCTTTTTTTGTTTTTCCCCTAGTGCTAGAGTCTGGCAGAGAATTCCAGTATGTAAAACAGATGCCAGTAGAATTACTCTGGTTGAAGCAAGGATGGAGGGCTCCTGGAGCCAGAACCCCACCTTCCTCTCAGAGGTGGCAGTGGAGTGGGGTTCGTTAGAACTCCAGGGAAACTATGTTTGAAATCAACTACTTCATGCTGATCCCTTTATTTACAAAGAGGAAAAGATGACCACACAGTGAGAGACAGCAAACACTACTGTCTAAATTCAAAGTAAAAGAGCCTATTGTTTGGATTTAAAATGTCCTTATAGACATGTGTATATCCTAATATGCTAGCACAGGCCCACAAGGATGACACATGACTTACTGAAATGTTGGGTTGTCGGAAAAGTCATGACGTATTTTTTCTATGTTTTTCGTTGCAAAAATGTGTCATGACTTTCCCGACAACCCAAATAGACGTTTATGGTACCAAAATGGATGAAAAAAAAAAGAAAAAACTGCCTACTTCTCTTCAGTTTCCCATGAAGAAAAATTTGTTCATTTTCAGATATAATCCTTAGTATCTACCTCATCAAAACCAAGGGAACCACCATTCTTTTTTATCCTTTCAAGCACATGACTAAAATATTTTAAAAACAAACACACACAAAACACTCCTCTTTTTTTTTCTACGCCCATATCAAATTAGTCACCAAGGAAAACCAGTCTCCTATATTTCCAGCTCCGGGTTTTTTCAAGGGCCAGAACAGCTTAGTTCTAGACTACATCAGTCCACCAGCTTCGTATTTCCGTAACTTCATCTATAGGTCTAAAAGTTGATTGGACAGTGCAGCTTTATTCATGCACACACACACAGACATACTTTGGCTTTTCTATTAGCAAACATCACTGGCTAAGAAGCTTTCTCTTTGGGCACTAAAAAAGTTATATCAGATAACAAATAAATCAAAATAAGGGATGATGCATAAATTATACCTATTTGCTACAAGAATATACCTCTTGTATATAAAGAGCACAAAAATGGTTTTATTTGTCATGATATATTACTTACACATTTAATACTGATTTGTTATAAGTGAAGATCCTTCTCTAGTAGGTCAAGTCCTCTGCATAAATAACTTACTTCTATACAAAAAGGCATTCCATTTCATTGCTCTGCTACTTCCATTTTAAAACCTGTTATAAAAAATCCTGTGATTTGATAATTTTATGGAAGCAGAGCATTTCCCGAGGATGAATAAGGCCTTGTCATAACAATTTACTTGTATTTGTTTTGGGTGGGCCCTGTAGGTTTTTAATTCAAATCTCAGACACTATGTTATTTTACCAATACTTTAACATGTTATCTGAATTTCAAATGCAAGTAGCATAATTCAACAGAAAATCGGGTCTTAACCATTCCTTAAAATCAGGTAATTTTAACTTTAGACAAATCCCAAATTAATCATGTAAGAAAATAACCTTAAGTGACAGTAAACAAAAGAGAAAACAAGGGCCCTGATGAATGCATGTGAAGTTGTGCGTGTGCTCCAGTTCATTCCAAGCTGCTGATAGGCAGACAGGACGATTTCAAAGCTTAAAATGAAATATCAGGGCTTGAACTCCTTGGTTAGCTGTCTTCTTCCCCATCCCTGAATCCTAAATTAATGAGGTCTCACTATAGCTACTGATTTAGCTTAAGAAAAATACATCTTCAGTATTACTTTTTCTTTATAATTAAATTGTCAACGTTTAACTGAACAATAAAAATTAGTTTCAGCTCAGGTATCAAGACAGAATTCATAAAGATGAGTTTCATCAGATTTTAAAGGTGTGTCTCCAAATTTTTAGCTAGTGCTGCGGATAGAGTACATCTGAATTAAGTGAGTATCTATGCCGAGATGACTAATGCATCTAAGAAATTTTAAAGCCATACTGATCCCTCACCTTAAATGAGTCATTTGGACAAACAAATTGTCCTTCATCCCTTATTAAATCATTTAAAAGTATGTTATTTTAAGTACTTACTTGGCAAAATATGTATTTTAAACATAGCAACTACTTGGCAACTATATTATAGAACAGAAATAATTAAATAAAAATCAAACAAATAATATCATTAAATACTTAGAAAATAAAGTCAGATAATTATAACAAGTTTAACATTCCTAAATGTACAGTAATTGATTTTAATTTTTGAATTTAAACATGTGAACTCTAATTTCAAATATTTAGGAAAATCCATGTACACTATAAAACATTACTTTCATATTTTAACATTCATGTTTTTCATTATAATTCAGGAGAGTAATTATTTAAAAGTCTTATAATAATTCTCGTTAATATCATGCTGCATTTATATATCTCTGTTTAGAAAGTTTTCTCCCTAATATTTTTACTAATTCTCATATCAACCCCAAGAGAATCTATTAATAGGACAATCAAAGCTTAATAAGGTTTAAGGTTACACAGCTGTAAGTGGCAGACTTGGACTCAGCTAAAATGCTATCTTGGTAAAATTATGCATCTAATATTTTCCTTTTTTTTGAATTTTTATAAGAGTTTATTTGAGTCCAACTGACGACATACGTGGGGGAGCAAGATCTCAAATGCTCCTTAAATATTTTCAGCTAAACTAATGAATGGATGCATGAGTAAATGAGTGAATGAGTAAGTGACTAAAATTCTAAACCAATAGGATGTTAAAAGCACTTAATTTTTCTATTAAAATGTTTATGTTTTTACCCTATCCCATAATTTAGGAATGTTATTTTGCCATTAAAAGTGTACTAATTATTAAATCATTCCTTTTAATTCAACAAATATTTGATGAGGCAAAACTAATATAACTCTAGATCACTCATATTCTTGGCCACAATACATCTGATGCCTGTGTTCAATTCCTAAAAAGCCTAGAGTTACTTCTGTACTCATCCTTCAAAATGAATTCAAATGTCACCTGCTCTGAAAAGCTTTCCCTGAGTCCTTCATAGGGATAGTGCCTGTGCTAAAAGTTCTGACAGTTCTCCACTCATTCCTCTATTATAGAACTAATCATGTTGTTTTAGAATAACCCATTTCTTTGTATTTTTCACTATACTTTGAGCTTCTTGAGAGTCAGGACTACATATCTGAACCTCTGGAACTCCAACACCTAATATATTGGGTTGTTGGAAAAGTCATGACGTATTTTTCTACGTTTTTCGTTGCAAAACTGCATCATGACCTTTCCAACAACCCAATATAATAGGTAATCAACAGTAATCAATCAATCACTCAGCTATGCTTTAAGATTCAAAAACAGGGCAGCATCCTAAGAGAATCATACCTACCATATTGAAGTAGTATCTTCAACACCGTACATAATATTAGAAAAATATATAATAGCATGTAGAAACTATGAGTTTGATATAGCATATATATGAGGTGTGACTAAAAAATATGGTGAATGTTTAAATAAAAAAATGTATTACAGTAACAGACACATTGCCATTAATCCCCCTCAAAATACGCCCCCTCGCTTCGAACACACTTATCCCATCATTCTTGCCACTTCCTGAAGTAGTTCTGGAAGTCCTCTTTCGTGAGTGTCTTTACTTCCATCCTCCATCATGACAACATTCTGTGTCACACATCACTTCTGGTACGGCAATTTCTATCAAATAAAAACATTACGGTGTGTCCTCATCCACCTTATTCACCGAATCTGGCACTGTGTGACTTCTGGCTCTTCCCCAAAGTCAAAATGATCATGAAAGGTAAACCTTTTGAATGGATTCAGGACATCGAGGCAGCCACAACAGCACAACTAAAGACACTCACGAAAGAGGACTTCCACAACTGCTTCAGAAAGTGGCAAGAACGATGGGAAAAGTGTGTTTGAAGTGAGGGGAAGTATTCTGAAGAGGATTAATGGCAATGTGTCTTTTACTGTAATAATTTTTTTTGGTAATTTAAACATTCACCGTATCTTGTGATCACACCTCATACATATTTAACATGGCCTTAACAATGTTAATGATGACGCTACTGAAGGAACTAAGAGTAACTAAAGTTAAATTCTTTGTTACTCTTAGGTCCTTATTACACGCTCTGAATAATTAATAATGCATCACATTCTATCTTTCAAATCAGATTATAGGCTTCTTAAGGAAAGAAATCTAGTCATTGATTTGTATCTATCACACTGTCTTGAACGGAACATATGCTTAACAAATATTTGATAAAAGTACATACTAAATGCTATAAACTAGAATTACTATTTCTTGGGTAACAGTTAGTGCTATGTATTGTCATATGTTCTAAATGTTCTACACCCCTTAAAATGTTCTGAACTATTGAGCCCTAGGGCTATGATCATTTTATCCTCTTTAAATCTTCATCATGTTCAGTGCTGTACACTACACAAACCTTAGAAACCCTTAGAAACCTTATGTCTGGCTAGGCATAAGCTTAGAATTTTTCAAGCATAAAATAAGGATGAAAAACAGGTATGCTATAGTTTCCTAAAAATGACATATTCAGTATATGTCACTCAGTTTGATAACAAATATTTATGAATACCTATCATGTTTTAGGCATGGAGCTCAGAGAAATAAACATTCTAGGTACTTACTTTCAAAAATCTTACAGTCCAATGTACAAGATTAACATTAACTATGCAACATGCCACTGAAAAGTAAAATAGTTACAAGTATACAAAGTAGTTAAAAGAGCAGCACAGAACTACAATAATGTATAATGAAGAAATTCACCTAGTCCAGGCACATAAAAGTTGGTATCTACACAGGTTTAAAAAGATTCTATTTAGCTCCCTGAAGACAGGATCAGTATCTTATCGTTCTTTAAACCCAAACCCTAGGACTAACAAAATTAGTAACTGGTTCATTTAACAAATATTTTCTGAGGACCCATGATGTGTTATGGCTGGGTTCTTAGTAAAGTGCTGGAAATACAGCAGTGAACAGAGAGGCGAAGTCCCTTCCCCGTGAATCTTATGGAAAAATCAATGTTTGCTGACATGCACATATTATGGTTTCATAAGAGTTTGCATTTCTTGTGTTTTTGTTTTTGTGGGAGGCTGTCAACCAATCCCGTCATAATTGCCCGCCTTAAGAATGTAATATTGTGGTGGAAGCTACTTGGATTTTTTTTTTTTAAGTCTTAGCAGTATAAACAATGAATATTAACCTCTTTTGTTAACTGACATTAATAACTATAATTAGCTGTTTCTAAAGTATAAAATACAAACTAGTCTATAAACTTATGTTTAAAATACAACATGAAATTCAATGCAATAAAAATACCGCTTAAGACAGATGGTAGTGTTAAAAAAATCTAATTGAAATCTCTCTCTTCCTAGTCTTTTATACCTGATTTGTAAAGTAAGTTGTGATAGGGCAAGTTTTGCATAGAATGCTACCTGCTACCCTTAGTCATCCCTAATTCGGCAATGTGATCTGCACTAAGAATGTGTCAAATAATTCAAAATATAAAAACCATAGATGATCAAAGAGCCAAGATTCTGGTCAACAAGTGATAAGTTACACTGACATAATCAAAATGAAATTAAGCCAGAATAATGTAACATCATTCATTTAAGTTCAAAAATATTTTTTTAATGATGGAATTAAGACTGGCCAGCTAACGTAAGTATCTAGATAAATGGAAAGTAATAGTCCTAGAGTCTGTATTGGTTAGGTCTCATGGAAACAGTAAAACAAAATTATTAGGAAAAAAGCTGACTCTAGAACCAAACTGCTCAAGTTTACGCTCCATTTACTAGCTAAATAACCTGAAAAAGTTACTTGATGTTTCTGAGCCTCAATTCTCTCATCTGGAAAATGGGGCTAATAATAATGTATCTACATCATAGGTTTGTTATAAGGCTTAAATGATTTCATATTTCTAAGGCTCTTAAAATAGTGCCTGACACATAGTAGGTTCTATATAAATAATAGATAATATTATTATTAGAGTGCTAGGTTCAATTTAGGGTAATATATTTCAAGAAAGGCAAACCAGGGTATATTTAAAGTAGTTTGTAATCTTTCTTCAGTCACGAACCCTTTGAAAGCTATAGATATTTTCCTCAGAAAAAATAATACAATTATTTTCAAGTGGTTTGTGAATCTCCTGAAAGCCAGCTACGACCCCAAGGGTTTTGGGCCCCACAGGTTAAAAATTCCTATCTAGAGGAAGGCAAATAAGGTAATAAGAAAAAATAAGGTCTGGAAACTATAACAAAGAGAATGGTTGAAGGCATGTGGGACTATCTGGCCTTGGAATATTTAGAACATGACAGGTCCCCTCAAATTTAAAGCACAGCCTCAATACCCATCTGCTAGGAATACAGATTTCAGTATTATGAGACAGAAGATGAACTAGGTCAACTCTAATGATTCCCACATAAAATTCATTCAGGTTATCAACAACGAAAGGGGTCAAGAACTATTGGTAGGCATTAGTGACAGAAATGAATAAAATAAACAAAAATCCCTGCCCTCACAATTCTAAGTTTCGTTGGCAGAGATATCGTATTTACTAACATGGGAAAACGTATTTTGGAAAGTAGCAAGTATTTTTGCAAATCTCTATCAATTAGGGAAACTGATATAGCTATACCATTTAAAATATTAGTTTTCAGGCCGGCCGAGTGGCTCAGCTGTTAAGAGTTTGCTTGGGAGCGCAGGCTCTGAGCAGCAGGGCTGCGGTTCGGATCCCACATTGAGGGCCAGTGACGCTCGCCCTCTACAGCTAAGATGATGAACAACAGCTCGACCTGGAGCTGGGCTGCTGTGAGTCACCGGCGACTGAGTAGGATGCAGCAGGGCTGCAGTGGGCTGCTATGGGCTGCGTGAGTGTCTGGCAGCCAGCATGAGCGGCTGGTAGCCGGTGTGAGCTACTGGGAGCTGCTGTAAGTGGCTGACCAACGACTGGCGACCGATTGCCTCACCAGGAAAGAGCACAATGATCATGCCAACATGGGCCAGTGAAGCGACATCCTCCACAACTAGACTGAAGAACAAAATAGCAATTTGTCTACCTGTCTGTTCCCCTTCCCCGATTCCCCAACGCTGTTATCCTCCCCCTAAATCCCCAATAAAATCTTTAAAATAAAATAAAATATTAGTTTTCAGGAAACTGAAACACAGTTGCTGCTTTAACATTAGGTACTGAGCAATTTAGTGGGGTTTTTTCCTTCCTTTAAAACAAACTTACTATTCCACATCATGATTGATACTAACCTGGATATGCTGAAAAAAAAACCTGGTGGTCTTCAACTAATCTGAGCCTTTACTGACAGACTTGAAAGTCACCAAACAAATATTTACTTGACTCACCATATTAACAAGAGAACTCTGTTTTTGTTTTTGTTTTTTTTAAGCTGAGCCATCCTGCCACCTGTTGGCAGCTCAGTGGCAGCTCAGCTCGGGCTGGACTCAAACCACTGTTGCTCAGAGCTCAAACCGGTGAGCGAGCTCTTAACCAACTGAGCCACTCGGCCGGCCCAACAAGAGAACTCTGAATCAAACACTCTACTCTTGTGAGGAGTGGGAATAGTTAAGAAGAGAAATAATTAAGAAATTAGAATTAGAAAAAGTACTTAAAAATTGCCATATTCAAATTTCATAACATCCATGTTCAAAAGTAACCTAAAGATTTTCTACGATATCAGAATTTTCAAGCTTGATAAATGGCTATGTACTCATTATTCACTGATATTTGCAAATAATTACTTTTATCACATATTTTTAAATGTTTCAGGAAAACTGTCATACACATATACATACACATTTATTTATAGACATATTTTCTTATCCCACTCTCACTAGAAACAAAAAACAAAAAAAAAAAGCAAAGCAAAACAGAAAGAACACCCTTTCAAAATGTAAGGTCAAATGCGAAAGTGATGGCTAGGGGGAAGAAAATGTGTTATACAATTAGATGGTATGGCAAATCTATGCTCTATAAAAACTCTTGATCTAATTTTTTGCAATTCCCCATATCAGCTTAGTATCCCAATTATATGAAAGGGAGAGGAAAATAAAGGCAAATCGCATGAAGACATTTAATAAAGTATTTAAAAATTTTTTTGTGACATGATACTTAACCAAATAACTAATCACGATAATAGACTTTGAGGAAACTTCTCTTATAATAAAGAAATACCTTAAAACTATGTACAAATTTCCACCTATTTAAGAATAAACTTATTTTATGAAGATGTACTTCGTAGACTGGAAAAACCTAAAGTACCTTAAATTTTGGTACAATTTTCCAGGAAAACACTGCATGTTTATATATGTAGAAATTAAACAGACACATTTTAAAATGCCTCCCAAGCATCGAACAGAGCTAGCTTTAAGAAAATCAAAAGATGTGGTATTAAAACTAGATGTCTCATAGGTAATCTTAGCAGTAGTCTATTCAGGTTCCAAAACATCACATAATTACCTGTGTTTATTTCCTCTGCAATTTCCAAATCTTCTATTTGAATCCTATGATCTAACATTTCTATAAAATGGTCTCTGATTTCTTCAGCTGACTCATCGCCAAATTTATAATCACATAACATTACAGTGGATCCCGGAATGGGGACAAAAACTCGGTGAGGGAGGATGTGAAACTCATTTTCAGAATCTAAAAGGAGAAGAAACATTATTGATATTTAGATAGGTGTGTCACTGGTATCAATGACATATACAGGTATATGAACGCATTATATACCCACAGAAAGAAAACCTAAAAGGTATTTTCACTTTCTAACTGATCTACCACAAAATTGCTTTTACTGAATCTTGCCTCACCTCAATACCCCTGGCCTCTGCGAGACCCTAAAAGATAATCCTACGAAACAGACACTTATGACTGCCTTCAATGTGAGGACACTGTTGATTATATGTGCTTGTATTATCCACTGTCTTATGGAGGAATACCTAAGGAGAAAATTTTGTCCCTGGTCTCAGAAGTGGTCATTTTTCTTGTTTGTTTTAACTTCACAAGTACTAAAGTTTATAAATCATTTCTTCCTCTTCTTTATAAAAGTTTGGAGCCAAAGTAGTGGCCCATCTACATCAAGATTATAGAACATGCTAGCATACAATTTTGTACAATGTATGTAAAAAACAATCTCATCACTGACTTCACCTGACTCGATGCTAGCTGGCCCCGATATCAAACATGTGCAGGACATGGAGACGCACGCTTTGTATACTAACCTCCCTCCCAGCTCCATTTTGCTATCTTTTCATTTCCCTTTGCCCCGTTCTTATTACCAGTATTTATTATTCTGATCAAGTTCTTAGTCTTTGGACCTTATATGCTCTGCGTAATTAGTAATGCATACACGGTCTGTCTTCCACATCGATTATCAGCTTCTTGAGGGAAAAAGTCTGGTCATGGATTTGTATGTATCCCATTGCCTTGAACAGAGTAAATGCTTAATGAGCATCTGATAGACATACTAACTGTGCAAACTAGAATTAATATTTCTGGGGCAGCATGAGTACTACATATTGTCGTAAACAGCATGAAGTAATTTTTAGAAAAATAATCTGGATCTAAATAAATAATGAATAACTATATTTCATTCTTCTTTGAATACTCAAAGTAAAATACATTTCCCTCAATTTATAACATAGACACTCGTCCACATAAATACAATTATTGTTTGGTTCTAATGAACTATTAACAAAGATAAAGATTTTGTGTATGCAACAACATGGAGGGACCTATAGGGTATTATGCTAAGTGAAATAAGTCAGACAAAGAGAAATACCATCTGATCTCACTCGTACGTAGACTCTAAAGAACAAAATAAAGGAAAAAACAAAACAGAAATAGACTCATAGATACAGAGAACAAATGGATGGTTGCCAGAAGGGAGGGGTATTGGGGCCTGGGTGAAAAAAGGGAAGAAATTAAGGAGCACAAATTAGCAGTTACAAAACAGTCATGGGGATGTAAAGTACAGCATAGGGAGTATAGTCAATAACGTTGCAACAACTATTTATGGTGGCAGCTGGGTACTAGACTAATCAGGGGGATCACTTCGTAAATTATATAAACATCTAATTACTATGCTGTATAACTGAAATTAATATTGAATGTCAACTGTAATTGGAAAAAAATCAATCAGTGAATTAATAAATAAAAACAACAACAAAAAAGTTTTTGTGTAATGGATGACCTCTTTCAGCATTGGATATGATTTCAAAAGCTACCAATGTATAGACAGTAGAAAAGTAGGGCTCACTTTAATAAGTAATCTACACTTCCTTGTCAAGAGACTGGCGCTAGCTTTACATAACTATCATACAAACAGAAGATAAAGAATGTCTTAAGCATCACAGGAACTGCTATGACTAAATTATGTATTCCTGCCAGATTCTCCTTATTATATTGTTTTCACAACTGGAAGAATAATTTTACTCTTTGACCAGACTGCCTCCTAGCTGTAAAATTATATTACTGCAATTTGTACAGTAGCACGTATAATAAATTGTCCACACAATGAAATTAGGAACCACCACTTACTGAGGGCTTGACTTACCAACTTGTATTAGGGGCTTTAAAAATATCATCTTATTTAATCTCACAGCCTCAAAAAGTAGCTACTGTAACTAATTTTCCACATAATATAATGAATGCTTAGATTGCTTGAATCATTTGCCTGAAGTCATTCCACTAATGGCAAAGTAGACAAAGAACGCAAGAACTTCAATCCTTGTTCTTTCCGCCAAACTACAGCCCCATCTCTTTACATAGGCCTCAAAGGCCACTCAATTACAGTGAAAAATAGTTTTTCATTGTTTTAAAAATTTAGGATTAGGTGATAACATCAGCTTCTAATATATAAAATATGTGTAGCTATCACAACTGCTATTAGAAGTAATTAATTTTACTGACATCAACAAAAATTTCAAAATACTAACTCAGTACAAAATAATACCAGGACAGTCATACAATACCATTTTTATGAAGACTTTTTAAATGGAATGGAGTATGTAACTAATGTGTGTGACAAGGTACATCGTTGGTATTAATAATGGTGCATATATCCCCATGTCACTGAAAATCCTAAAATTCACAGTTCGGTTGTAACTGCACCGTTGCTCAGAAAGTGATGGAACATTTACCACCACAAGAGCTCCACAGTCAAGTAGCAAAAGCAAAGCCACAACGAGATGAGGCTGCAGGCTGACTGGGAGGAGCAGGGACCGGCTTTCACATAATTGCCACAACAAACATCTCAACCCAATTGCTGCATGTAAGATTTCAATTCATGTCTCAGCAGAACTATACATGATTAGTGAGCAAAACTTCAGGGTTATTTGTGAAGTATGGGAAGGACAAATGTTAAATTTGGCAATCCAGGAATCTGTAATACTAGGAATATAAAAAAAGATTACGATTAGCCCACCAAACCTAATATACTATCAGTAGTACTAAAAGAAGTTAGTTATATAGAGGAGTATTTTATATACTCCTAGAAACAAAACTATTCCCTTAACAAGCTAATAAGTATGTTTCAATTATGTACACAGGAACTGTGAATTACAAATCCGCTCTCATCTGAATGGTAGTAAGGTGGAAATGAATGTGTAGCTTCACAAAGCATACTCAATATTATAATTTTCTTTTTGAGTAAAAAAATGGTTTTTAATACAAATTACTGAAACGATATAAAGTGTTTATGTTTCACAAAAAACAGACTAGTTATAAAAGGTTAAGGTACCATGACCCAGCCGTTTTTTTAATCTAATAAAGTCTATTAAAGTAATAGATGAGAAGTAACTAGTACACAAAAAAATTTAGTAAGAATAAGAGATTAATTGCATATATGCTACAATTTAATACCTATTAAAGAATCTACTATATAATAATTAAATTAATATTTAGATTATGAATACATTCTTGAAAAAACCTCCTAGATATTAATTTTAATAATTAGCATTAAAATGTTAACACAGTTTCCCATTCTGGCAGAAATTCACATAGAATTGTAAAAAGTATCTTCCCTGAAATTGTTAAATGCTGACAAATTTGTTATTATAAGATCTTCACAAAAAGTTTTGGGGGTGGCAACTGAAACATTTTCATTCAATAAAAAAAGTAAAAGATGACATATTGTTATAAAAGAGATAGGTAGTTATAAAAGGTGACATATCTATCTTATCTTGACATCCTATCAATTGATCACATACAAAAAAAGTACTTAATTTTATACTCATAACTTTTTTTTCTGGAATTTCATTCAAAAGCAGATCCTCAAATAGTATTTCACAACGATCCGCAACTGTATTCAATATATCCCTCTTCATTGCCTAAATAAAACAAAACAAATCACAATGAGAAATAAAATCTATTACTTTAGATTTGCATTATTTCATTACCAAAAAACCCTCACATAATTGGTTTCCCTGTATAATCATGTCCACTAAAATAACTGATACATCATTCCTTTTTTAAAATGTACATTTATTTAACATGCTTATTAAAACATTAATAGTTTAAAAGCAAAATTGCCTACCTCATCTAATCAGTAAATTAAAACTAAATGAATAAATGAAATTTTACATGTAAACAAATAATATTAGTGTTCCAAATTAGGAAATGTGTAACTATGACAAAAGTACCAGTCATCATTTTTAAAAGTTCTGAATTATATTGATATAGAACACTACCTAATAATTGTTCCTATGAATACTTTTCCTGTTATTTAAAAGTTCAATTTCCCTCAGAAGAAATGATTTCAAATGTACTAATATGTCACAGCTGTGGAGTACTTAATAAACTGGTGTAACCATCACTTTAAAAAAGGCATAAAATAGATACTCTACATATGAAAATTTGGGGACCAATTACATGGTATAATTGGACTGCACAACAGATTGGGCCTTGATTAGTTAATATCAACATAATAATTATGCAATCTGAGGTTGAAAAAAATAAAATTTTAGGATTTTTGAACACTTTGCTAACATGCTGCTGTTTTTCATATACCAGCCAATCCTCTTGTACCTGCACTGCGTCTTTCACCTTGGGTTTACTGCTGTGCACGTAAGCTCTGCATTTCACAGCGCCCTTCAGGTTTATGGAGCCGCTGCAGATCTGGACTGTGGCTGTGGATCTACGGTCGGAACTCATAAGCTAAAAGACAAAAATCAGGTTCAGTTCAATACCCAACATTATTTATTACCTATTATATGAACTACTTTATTAACTATATAAAACATTTAAACATTATAGAAGGCATCTCATGAAGTGGGAAGGAATTTTTTACTGAACCAAGTATTTGAAAATAGTCACCATAAATTACTTAAAGGCCTTTATATTTCTCCTTATAAGCTATATATATATATTTTTTTAAAGATTTTTATTGGGTAATTGGGGGGATGGGAACAGTGATGGGGAATTGGGGGAAGGGGAACAGACAAGTTGCTGTCGTTTTGTTCTTCAGTCTAGTTGTGGAGGACGCTGCTTCACTGGCCCAAGTTGGCACCATCATTGCGCTCTTCCCAGCCAAGGCAGATCAGTCGCCGGCTTCTGGATGGCCGCTCACTGCAGCTGCTGGCCGCTCATGCTGGCTGCTGGCTGCTGGCTACATACGGTAGCCCATGGCAACCCACTGCCACAGGGACTGCAGCCTACGCCGTCGCCAGCGACTCACGGCAGCCCAGCTCCAGGTTGAGCTGTTGTTCAGCATCTTAGCTGTGGAGGGCAGTGTCACTGGCCCTCATATGTGGGATCCGAACCGGGGCCCTCTGGCATCCCAAGCGAGTTCTTAACCATCGCGCCACTCGGCCGGCCCTAAGCTATATATTATTTTATGAATATTTTGAATGTTGTCTAAAATTAAACATAACTACATCTAAATTTTTTCTTACTAATACAACCATCTAAAGTACCAATAGTTAATCAATATATTCACTGAAAATATATTATTTGCAGATTACCCAACTATTAAGATGAAAAGATGTATAAATAAGACATGATTTAGTAGGAATTATAAGGTATGCAATATAAGATTTGCACAAAAATAACTGGAATACAAAGCAGAATGTGATAAATATAGTAAAATTACAATGTGTAGACACCCATTTATTTATACACTCTCAACTCATAACTTTCACAGAAAGTAATGTTATGCTCCATGGCAGAAAAAAAAAAAGCAAATCGACTATGCCTGTCACCAGAAAATGATATCAGTGGTTATAAGAAGTCACTTTCATCTCACAGTCCCATTCTCCTATAGTCTAAGGAGTTCATGCTTGGTTTTGAGATGTTTCACAGAGATTTTTAACTTTATCATTTTAGTAAGTGCCAAAACAAGGAGAGCACCAAAACACTGAACGTATTACTACAGGCTATAAAATCATAATGGAAATAAAAATCATGATTAAAAAAAAATAGACACAAACAACGTGTGCTAAGTACACCTGGAATAAACCGTTCTACAATAGGGTCAATCCTGAGGAACTAAAATAAACCACGCAACTTGGGAACAGTGCTGTGTGTTTATGCAACAAAGAACAATCAGGAAGTGATGAGGGAAAACGGTGAGGAAACCAACTCACTTCAATGTGAAGCATAAATAGTCAGTCAATGGCTAATATAATTCAAGCAAAGGCTAGTTTTTTTTAAGAATTGAAACTTAAATACAATCAAGGTTTTATTCGTAAAAAAATCTGTCACAGACCAAATGGTTCAAAAGGTTCCAGGTCCGTTCAAAATATGTGTATCATCAAACCAAGCAGCAGAGTGACAATGCGAATACTGTATTTGGAATAAGCTTCCCATGATTCTTGTAGAGATCATTAATACAACAAGGTGGGGGTGGAGGAGGAGTAATGGGCTTCCCTCATCCACTGCGCAGACATTACTACAGATGAAACTATTACATTTTGGAAAATAATGCCCTACTCTACATATTTAATGTCCAATTTACAACATATACTTTGTAATATGTAACACATTTATAATGTATGTATAGGATATATGTATAAGTTAGGGCACTGTCTTCCATAATGGACTAGGCTTTATAAATGACTATGCGTGCCAGGACGCACGCACGCACACAGACACACACACACACACACACACACACACACCAAGGAGAAGTGTTTTTAAAAGATATAAGGACTGGCTCGTTCCTTTTGGTGGAAATATATCTGAGTTTTACAAATGTGGACTCCTCTTGGTTTCTTTGGACTTAGGAACAAATTAGCTTACAAAAAGCCAGTGGGAACCTGACTTGTTCATAAATGGAAGAACTTCTATGATAGTGATATCGTATTTTGGAAAAGAAAAGATCCCTCCAGTTATGGTGACCAAAAAGCTTACAGAAGTGCTAGCACAATCTTAATGTCCAGGTAAGATTGTGACAGTCTGGATCAGGGGTCGGCAAACTGTGGCTCGCGAGCCACATGCGGCTCTTTGGGTACGTGCATGTGGCTCTACAGTCAAATTGAAAATGAAAATAACACTATCATAGTTTCATTTCTAAAATTTTTAAGGGATGTTATTCATATAGTGGTGATTTCATTTGTTTTATGGTTCTCGAATAATTTTTAAATTGTTGTGAGGGACAGGATTGGCTCTTCCGTCTCAAAAGTTTGCCGACCCCTGGTCTGGATGATAGAAGATGGCACTGGCAAGACACATGACTCAAGAAATACACAGGGTTTTAAAGGCAGAGAAAGCATATCCATAGAATAGTAAGTTAGAAAATAATGAAAACATGTTCTCAGGCTACGAAGAGCCTTGAATTAGACTTTCCTAACTAGTTAATATAGAGCAACTAAGGAATTTTAAGCAAGGAGAATGACACAATCAGTGTCTGATCCTTATACACACTCAATACACATTTTCCGAAAAAAAAACAACTAATAAGTAAATGAACAAGTGAATGAATGCAAATTGTAATTCAGAAAGATTAATCTGAAGTGATGTGCAGGATAGATTAGAAAGATTAGAATTATGGAAGATATGCCACAATATACACAAAGGTATCAGGATTTTCAGAAAAAGAATCACTTTGGACAAGAATTAATATATAGAGAGAGAAACATTAAGAGTTACTTGAGATAATGTAGGTAAAATAATATTGTAAAGCTAACTGCAGTGAAACTATAACAAAAATAAAGGAGCTTAACACTACAAAGTAAGAGGCAACAAAACTTGATGGAGGTTGAGTGGGAGGAAAGTGGCATCACATACTGATTGATTCCTTATATAATGGTTATAGAGTTTCCAGCTGGCTGACGAGTGGAATGATTGACAAAAATATACTATACTATATAATATTGAACATCATCACATTAAATTATCTCTTATGATATTATCTTCTACTCTTCTGTAGATAGTTCCACTTTACACATCTCTCAATTGCAATTTTGTCACTAAAAAAATTTCAACTGAATTGTTTCATAAACCAAGAGGTCAGGTAAGCATATAGTGAAAAGCATATAGGTAGAAGCAGAAGAATAGACTTAACGCAAAGAACACTCCTAAAATCAAAAGGAAGTAGGAAAAGAAAAAATTAAAAATACTTTTAAGGTATTGAGAAATTGAGAACTCATGTTGAGTGGCATAAACCCAATGACAATTTAGTAATGCTCTATTGCTAAACAGAGAAGAAAAAGAAGAAAATAAAACATCCTCGGAAGTCTATTTCATTCAGTTAAAAACTTACAAGGCCTAGTGATACTTCTATTTACGTTTCCAGTATAATATGGAAAGGAAAAGTTTTCTAGTCTGTTCTCAAGGGTAGTTTCAAGGAGGATTAAAATCAAAGCATTTATACTTTTAGGAATAGTTATTGGCTTTAACTTTTTATTCTTGAAGCTATCCAACTTTCAATTTCTGAAGAGATGTGCAACTTAACACAACCATATAAAAATACAAAACTTGTTAATACTGTGTGATTTTTTTTTTAATCAAATCAGAGGAGGTATAAATCTACTTCACATGAAGTATATGACAACTCTTGGCACATCTGTGCACATACCTTTTATTTTTAAATTGTTAAGAATTACTACTTTAGTCATAAAACACAACCAGGAATACTGCACACACACGTTCACAAATGTATGTATATGTACACATGTAGTATATGTGTATACATATATTTTTTAATTGATATTTACTTTATGTTAAAATTTTAATAGTCTTGGCCAAAAGACCTGAAATAGGTTTTAACATAGTATTTCTTGGGAACAACTTTCCTAGAACTAGACATTTTTTGACAGTCTCTTACATCTCTAAAATTCTTTGGCTCTTAATTATAAACATAAAAACAGAAACAATTTTATTATGGTTATTCTAAAACATAATGTATTTTAGATAAGTAGGATTTAAAAACATTTACCAATTGTGTCAGCACTCTGACATCAAAAGGTTGACTAGTTGCTTGAGCATTTCCTCGAGAAGGTTTTTTCTGGAAAAAAAATTAAAAACTAGGTTATTAAGATTGGAGTGGAACATACAATTCAGGAATTACTCTACAACTTAGAGGAAATAAACTCTTATTATTTGTTTTATTTTATATTTTTCTCTAGACATGGGACTTGGTATGTTCTGTATTAGTAGATGTGTACTCTTAAAAATCATTAATTCCCTACTTTGATTCCTTTAAAGCAAGAATTGCAAACTATGGCCCATGGGTCAAATCCAGACTACCATCAGTCTTTATAAATAAAGTTTTACTGGAACACAACCAAGATCACCCATTTACATATTGTTTGTGGCTGCTTTCATGCTACAACATCAGAGCTAAATAGTTGCAACACAGACCACATGGCCTGCGAAGTCTAAAATATTTCTCATTTGGTTTTTTTTAAGATTTTTATTGGGGAATTTGGGGGAAGGGGAACAGACAAGTTGCTATCCTTTTTGTTCTTCAGTCTAGTTGTGGAGGATGTCGCTTCACTGGCCCAAGTTGGCACCATCATTGCGCTCTTCCCGGGTGAGGCAGATCAGTCGCCGGCTTCTGGAAGGCTGCTCACTGCGGCTG